ATTCTAATCCATGTAGTGTGTAACACAGCTCTAAGTGAAGTGAAGTCTCCAGCTAAGGCTTAAATCTGTTAGTGTACAGTGTTTAAAACTGTTGATTCATCTATAAAAGAGTCGACTCATAGTGCTTCAAACGAGTCGCCTTGATACCGATTCATTAGGTGTTTCGCCATGACGTACGAACGAAACCAAGTTATTCACGTGCACGCGCAAACCCGGGAGATTTCAAACCTGAGGCCCCGCCCTCTGACGCAGAAACCCAGACACACACACACACACACACACACACAAACATGCCGGTCGATTGAAGTCACACTGCAGATGGATATATTCAGTCTCTACCCAAAGATGAAACCTCAGCATTATAACCAAGCAGTTGGAAACTACTGGAAACTTCTGGAAACTACATGCTACAAAGAATACTTCATCAGCGTTTGTTAAAGGAAGGATCAGTAAAGAGTAACTTAATGCTGGACGTCAGGATGGATTTTTCTTCCTCCATTTCTCAAGTGTAAGTTCGTGCGATTAAAGTTGCCTCGTTTACTCTAGCTTGCAAATGTATTTAGTTGTGATTTGTTACTTGTAACCGCGTGTACTGTATCAGGTTAACTGGCTATATTCTCTTATCGCGTGCAAAGTCACGTTAAAAACGCGACGCGTGCTGCTTTGTTAACGGAGCTCCGTGGACGAGGAGTAGTGTGTGTGTCTGTGTGTGCGTGTGCGCGCGCTGTCGTCCGGAGGTGTGTGTGTTTGTGTATGTGTGTGTGCGCGCGCGCGTTGTCGTCCGGAGCAGGGTTAAGTGCGTGTGTTTGTGTGCAATATGTGTGTGTGTGTGTCTGTGAAAAGAGCAGCGTGAGAAGCTAGGAGATCTCCTCAACTGTTTTTGGAGTTTTTGCTCAATAAGATAGTTAGTCGTCTGAATTTTCAAGTCCATAGTCTGTATTTACATTGACCCACTGGCAGCTAAAATCCACGCCTACACTATCGAGCGTGTATGAACTGTGATTACTTTTATATTGCTGATTAGCTGTTTAGCATTTCACTCTCTGACTGAAGGCAGTCGACCAATCGCAACAGACTGTCATTGGTCCAATCAGCGCAGATTAGCTTCGCGCTAAGGAGGGGTTTGGGAACAAATGAATCACTGGACGATTCATACAGGAGTCGCTGGGATAATTAGGTAAAAATAAATGCAGATTATAAGACCATGAAAGTGTTTTTTGACCTTGCATGCATATTAAACTGTTGTTGGAGACCCTTACAACCAAGATATGACCCTATTTCATGTATAATATGGGCTCTTTAAATAAAAAAAATAATAATAATTGAGTTTTTTTTGTTCTTTTTTAAGAAAAGCAAAGGCAAATGAGGTTACATGCGAAATTTGAACAACAAAAAAAAAAGAGTAGTCAAAACAGAAAGGTGCCAGTAGCCAAAGTTTGTCAATGAAAACAAAAACTGTCACTTCTTGCTAAACCTGGTGCCAAAATGGAATTGACTGTGGTTAAAGTCATCCCACTGCACCCATTATCACACGATCTGGAATGTATGGGGTAAATGTGTTTCCATCTTAGTTTATGCATTTTTTTTTTTTCCTTATCGGATAAACCGTTGGTCCTATGCGCAAATATTTTTGAATGCACATTTGCTTAATATATGTACATCTTGGCATTCCAGTTAAGCAGTTTTTATGCAATATTCCAAAATATACAAATGTTGATGAAAACATAGCAACGGAGCTGTGCTGTGTGTCAACCTACAGTAGATGCATGCAGTGTGTCCTCATTTTGCTCTAAGGTAATTATTTTTATGGCTGCATTGTTCTCTGCGGTGTTCTGCAGTGGTTTGTTTGACGCTCCCTCATGTTTTTTTTAGATTTGACTGTATGTATAGGCTCAAGAAGCTCAATCATACTCCTATGATACAGGCTTTAGCTGCAAAGTGCCTGATGTGTCTCCCTGTCCATCTGGCAGCATGAACATTTCTACCAAGCATATCATTGTGGCTTCTCAGAACACACTATCCAATTTCAGTGTGGCCAGCCTCATCATATTTTTCTTTCATAGTGTAATTATACTTTTACAGACAATACCCCATATTTGGTCAGGATATATTTGATGATAGATCTGAAGGATGCTTGGATGTTTCCACGTGTAATGGGGGCCAGCTAGCGAGAGCTGTGCATATATCCTGCAATCTTTTGAACTCAAGACAAGCATTGGCGAGATGCTAGAGGCTGTAGTCTTAGAAGTGCACATGACTCCAATGCAGGAATCTCTGGTTCAAATTTTGCTCTGAAAAAGGGAGAGGTTACAATGATAATATGTGGTTTATGTAAGGTAATTCAAAAGAGAGGCCACTTAGTGAGAGACATATTATAATCATTATGCCAATGATCTCAAGAAGCAATATGTTCCATGCACAGATGATCTGCAACTTTTAAGCATGCAACCAATTTGTGATAGCTACGATTGTATATAATGTAACATGCGTAGCTTTTGTTCATGCCCTGAGTATCCATTGGAATATTTATAAGAATTCCCATTTGCCTGATAATACTTTAAGTAGCAGCAGCATCACTTCTACAATCAGCTTCATGCAAGATCCATAAAGCACAATTCTCTCATTCATTTTCAACACAAAGTGCCAAATCTGTGGTTTCTGTTACACTGAAGTGACAATGTGTGCTCAGATGTTTGTGCTGGTTGTGTGAGACATTAAACTGTGCATGCAATATGGAAAGCCTGATGAGACCGTATGATATGCTTTGTCTCACACAGCATAAGCCTTCCTTTCAGTGTTTTGTCATTCTAAAACACCCAATGTGGCTTAATGAAACAAGACAGTGCTTTAAAAACAAGAAGAGGAAAAAAAGCATATCACTTGTTTACTTAAACATTATAGTCATTATAAATAAAAATAATCAATAAATCATACTCTGTAGCCTACAGACAAGCAGGTGAACTAATAATAAGTATGTGATGTGTTCAGTTATATTTCTCTATAACCCCTTTCATACAGAATTTATTATTATATATATATATATATATATATATATATATAGATGTTAGAGTTTACTCTTTTGCAACTTAATGTGCTCAAAGTGCTCCTAGTGCCCTTGCAAATACACAAGACATCTTTTTTAAAAGCACAGTTAAACTCTTCAGACCCCGTACCGGGTCCGTGACATCATCGACTTTCGCTTTTACTTTTAAAAGATATAAAGGGCTAGTATTGCACCAGACCCCTTAAGTGGTTTAGTTTGTAAGTGTAGAATCTAAATTTTATGCTCATAAGCATCACTTTGGTTTTTATTCTTATGCTGTGCACTTCAGGGCCATTTCTCCCGTTTTTGAGGTGATGCGCATAAGTAATCCTTTTATATGTCGGATGTGGTCCAAACACAATAAATTATGTTTGATCCCAAAAAAAAAAAAAAAAAAAAAAAAAAAAACGCTTTTTTTTTAATTATCGGTAAAGTTATTCAGAAAATGTTCTTAATATTTACCAGTATCACTGTGTGAAAGGGACAATTGACTTGTTGATATGATCATAATTGAAACTGAACAAGCAACTGTCCTGAACCAATCTTGCCTACCCCTGCCCTAAAGCCTTGTTTCCACTGAGCGGTATGGTTCAGTTTAATACAGTATGAGTCAACTCAAGCAGAGTTGCATCTCCACTGCTAATGGCACCAATTTGGTAAGCATGTTGCACAGCAAAACTTTGCTGTCGATAAATAAGCCATATGGGTCATTTATATATCACAACCTTTGTGAACTCTTATTTATTCATTTAAATATAGACATGTGGCAATCAAGTGGCACCACTAATGCTTTCCACATGTTTTATATACCCTTGTAAACAACAATAGCAGACAAACATTAGATTATGTTCTTGCTTCTTGGCATGTGGCTGTTTGTCACAAGAAGATGACATGGTTTGTTTGAGGTTGATGATGGTTTATTTGTGTGCAGTGTCAGTGTATTACGTTGTCATGTCATTACTTTGGCATTTTACACTTGCTGGTGATAATTTTCTATCAAGCAATATTTTTTAGCTGTAAGCCTAGCTCTAACCTTTTGGTACAGATCTTTTTTTAAGCATCTTGTGGAAAAGTGCCAAAAAATTGGTACAGTACAATTAGGTTATTTGGTACCTGACAGTGGAAACTAACATAAAGTAAACTCATTTCAATTCATTTACATGACTAAATTAAAAAAAAAAACTGGAAAAAAGAAGCTGCGGTCTATAGTGAAACTGCCTCCCATGGGTTACACAAGTTTGAAGAATGAACATGTGTGGTGTTGTGGCAAGGTTTACTAATTCAGATTCCCCTTTTCAGTTTGTTTCACATCTTTTCTATTGTGACTTCATAGCATGTATATACTTCTCTACATGACAAATGTTTTTGTATAACTCCATGAGCCAGTACTGAAATTTTATTGTACAACATGGATTATGTTAGGAATTCTGTGTCAGTTTTCTGAAAACACAATTTTGAAGAGTGTATTTTAGTCAATGAAAACCTAAAATGGATCAGAGAAGCAAGTTGTTTCCTTTACTTCACTCAGCCTTCCACTGTCAATTTAAAGTTACAACACACACACACACACACGCGCGCACACATGCACATGCACACACACACACACACACACACACACACACACACACACACACACACACACACACACACACACACACACACACACACACACACACACACACACAATCTGTTATTATTTACTCAACTTTCACTCGTTCCAAACTTGTTATATATAAAAAAAAACAAATATATATATATAAGATTCAGAGAAACTCACTTACACGTTTAAAGTAGATGCTTTGTGATAATTTAAACTAGCATGTCAATATTGCATTACCCATTTCCGATTCATTAAAAATGAAACTCTATTCTAAAATGTTACCTCATTTTAGTTTGGCACACAATTTGTATTATAATGTTGCAAATGGTTTGTTAAAGACAAAGAGATGAATAAATATTAAAGAAAAAAGCTTTTTATTGGACATTTATTATATAAAAAAGAACTCAAAAATTAAGCATTCAAGAACAAATTTTAGCATTGGCACTAAACAAAAACAAATAATAATAATAATAATAATAATAATAATAATAATATGTATCTATTATTTTTGCTGAGATTATAGCCCATCTCATCCAGAATAATGCTATGACTGATTGCATAATTAATTCTGATGTTTCTCAAGCAGCAGATTGAAGTTACTCTTTTGCTGACATTTGATGGAGTTAAGCGTGGTATTACTTGGCTAAGAGAGGCTGAACTAAAGAAGCAATGAATCAGCCCTTAGACCCAACCTGCTCCAGTCTGTCTGATTCTCTGGCTAGGATGGGGCTGATCCCCCTGAAGCTTGCATAATGTTTCTTTGGTGTTCCATTTAGCACTGGTGAGGTCCCTGTATCCATGGGGCATATATAATCTGCTGATTCATCCATCTTGAGCTTTCTCAACTGTCTGAAGTGAGTAAAACCAAGCTTCTTTGGCTAAAACAGAAAAAAAAAGAGTAAAATACTTTATAAGTGATACATAGAAGACCATAAATAATTTCAATGACAGTGTTTGGAATATCATACCCTGACTTTCGCAGTGGTGGTAAGGGGAGCATGGCCACTGGCATTGGCAAACTCTCGTTTCTCCTGCTGTGCCTGGAGCCCAACCAGTGTGTAGAAATTGGTGGCCAGGTGTCGTCTCAGGAGAGTTTTCTGTGGAGGGATGTTAAGCAACAACGCCAGGGTCTCTGAATGAAAACGAGGTTCTAGGATCTGCAATACATAAACACAAAACATAGACAGATATTTCACGACAAAATATTTAAAACATGGACTTTCTTCTGCAAAAAAAAAAAAAAAGAAAAATTGAAATTGAAATTAAAGATTGTATTTGTATTACTTTATTTATTAATTTTAAGTATAAATTAAGTATTCATTAATCAGAACAATGAGTGTTTGGTCTTTTTTGCAGTAAATATTTCTAAGCTTTATATTTTTTTGCGATTTGGAACTAAAAAAAAAGGTGAAAACTCATCCACACTTTACACTCTTTGTTCAAGTGAAAGTACAATACTTACACAGTGTGTAAATATAAAAAAAACAGATTGTGTATCAGAACCTGATTAGACATCTGTAATTGGATCATAAATTGTTTTACGGGAGAACAAGTAGTTTGTGTGGTACCCCCTCATATGTATGTAGCCCCTGGGACTCACAATTAGGCCTCCATGAACACCACTGCCTCTCAGGTTTGGAGCATATTCAGCCAGATCCACCGACCTCAACCACTCCATCACACGGTGGTTGGACCACTGCACCACCTCAGAAGGAGACGTCTTGAACTGCAGAATGGAATTAAATCTAGTTTAAAACAGTGAATTCTAACAAAATGTTAACTTAAGGGGATATTTCACCCTAAAATTTACATTTTAAGAGTTGACACTTAGCTGATGATTGATTATAAAGCTTGTTTGGCAAAAATAAATCTTAAAAAAAAAAAAAAAAGGAATGAATAATAAATCCATATGAAGTCCCTTAAATGTGAAGTTGCATCTTCAGTTTCGCACTCAGGCACGCTTTGCACTCACACTACAATCCTACCACGCCAAACCCCAACTGAACCGCACTGTGGCACACCTATTCCAACTGGGCCAGGGTTGGCCAACTGAACCACACCTGGGCCCGAATTGGAGCACTCACACTTAGCAGTTTAAATGAACTGGGAAACCTGCCTGAGGATGGATCGTATAACATAGTGTGACCCTTAAAAGTGACTTAAAAGTAAAAAGAAAAAAAAGAAAAAAGAAAAAAAAACTAATAAAAAAAGCTAATACAACTCAGCTTCATATTTTATTCATGATATTATTAAGAGATTCAGAGATTAATTAATTCAAGGGTAAAGTGTGCATTATCATGAACTCAATAGGGATTTGAAACAATTACAAGCAAATTGGTTTGTAATAAGTAAAAATGGCAAATGCTGATTGTGGAGTTGGATCATTGTCTTGTGAAATCTTGAGAGATTTAAAGTGCCCTTGTATTTGTATGTCTCTGTTGATGGGAGAACCGTGTTGTTGTTTTGCTCATCTCTCCTTTTACAGATTTTTGCCTTATCTAATTGTGTCTGCTCTTCAGTGATTACTTCATGTACAAATTATGAATCATTTAAGCAGCGTTAATCAATAATAAATATTATTTTTAAATGAACTAATATGAAATAAGATGAAAAATTTTAATCGCTTTTATCAAAATGTTTGGGCTAATTTGTTTCCCCAAATAATTAAAACTGTTAATGTGCAACTTAATTTACTGACAGTTTACAATAGGCATCCATTTCACAGTGATCAAATGGTTAACAGTAGCTCTATTATATTTAACATTGCTATAACATTTAGAGCATGTAGCACATTAGAGCATGCTTGTCTGCATGTTTATAGAATGTAAAACTGCAATCACCTCATCTCCTGGCCTCCGTCTCAAGCAGTTTGGGTTAAACTTGTTAACATGAAGGACATGGATTGCACATTTAATGCTCAGATGATGAAGCTGACTGGTGACTTTCAGAAACAAGAGGTCATTCTGAGAGAAAAGCACATCATTTTAACATTTTACAAACTCATGTTCACCTAGATGAAAACGTTGTTACACAGGGGTAAAATTAACTTCATCTTACCACTGTTAGGTACTGTAGCATGCGCCCATCAACCTTACTTTCATAAAACTGATCTTTGTACTGTGGTAAACCAATGTCATCAAGCCAACCTACAGCAAATAAGGATGTGGAAAATATTGGCAGAACACATGCATTTATTTGAAATGGCAAACAGAAACAGATGAAATTTCATTTATGAACATGCAGTTTAAGCAAAATGTACTGTATCGCAAGCTGTTATTGATGGTGCAAGTTGTGACTTAGCTGTAGTGCAACTCCACAGAGGGCAACAGTTCAGCTTCATTAAGTTTAAAATATTAAGATTATTACATACGTGTAACCCAGATATGATCCAGTTCGGAAGATTTCTCCATTGTCTTGTTACTGAATGCTCTGAGAGCTAGTTGCAATTTCTTTCTGTGCAGAGGATGTTTAATACAAATCTCCTATTCAGAACAGAGCACAAGACACGTTATTAGTACTACTAATGTTTCAGAAAGACTTTATTGCATGGTGGATATACCATATATTCTCAGACATTCCAAGTCTCCCAGACGTTCCAGGAGTCTCCCGCATATGCATAGAGACTCCCGAAATAATAATCTACCTTAAGTCGTGAGTATCTCAAATACGCCCTTGCTCTTCAAATATGTTGCCCAACCTAACCCCTTCACTCCCAGCTCATCAAATACAAAAGCACCACAAACCCACCCCACCAACCCACCACTCTTCATATACATCATGCAACAAAAACAACTCCCACAAATCATGTATTTTCCCCCCGGAAGTCACTTTTCCCAACTTGGGATGTCTGTATACTTATTACTTGGCTATGATTCTGATTGGTCAGTCGCAAAATTTGAAGGAATGTTATTCCAACTCAATCTTAAAGCAATTCATAACTTTTTGATTAAGTGGCTAATTCAATGAATTTGCTTATCCCCCAATGGAGTGGGTTTAGCAGTGGGGCTTGGTGCCATCCCTCCTTTTTAAAATCGTACAAAATGTAAAATAGTTACGTTTCCCTGTGAGATCAGGCTGGTTATTCTGAGATAACAACCGCTCAAACTAATGACATAGAACTTTGCTCACTTTGAATGATCAAGGACCGCCCAAAATGCTATTTGACTGACAGTTTAAGCAATGAATAATCTTTCCTTTTGAGTTGCGTCATGTTTATGGGCATGTGAGTGTCCACAGAATAACAGCCTTCACTCATAATGGTCTTTAAACATTTGCAACAACAATGCATCAATATCCTTAAAAATACATCAACAAAAAATATAAGAAATCAGTAGGACATGTATGTAGATGCAGACTGAGATAAACATTATGGCTTTATTATATACTTCTTTCCAGATGTAAGTTTGCTGACCACTTGACTCCCAGAAATCTTGCATATTTAAAGCAATCAGAGGACAACTAGGGGCCTGTTAATGTGTTGAGAAAAAAGTATACCATATGTGCGTCAGACGTTTAGCCACAGGTCCAAGAGTGGTGCTTAGTGTGACATCTGAGGCTGACACTAGTCATGCCACTGTTTGTCAACATCTTGTGACTGAATAATAAATAAGATAAAGTATGCTCCATTCAGCCATTTTTGTTTCTGTTAGCTTTGCTTTTAACCAAAAAACATATAAATTATTATTATTATTATTATTACTATTATTATTACTATTATTATTATTATTATTATTGTTAATTTTGTTTTGAGTCTAATCTTTATATCGTTTTTGTTTATATGCGGGATTAACTTCATCCAGGATGTTGTCAAATAAAAAAAATAAAAAAACTTCAGTCATATACAACATCTAATGTTAAGCCTGTCGAGCATTATTCTGTAACAACAATCGCCTGGATATTGTTTATTTTTGTGGCTGGTAAAACAATAGCACACAAGACAAACTATGGTTTAAAGATAAAATACCATACTAATGAAAACAAACCTTCTCAAGTTCCTGTGGAGTTGCAGAGAGGAGGGTTTGTCCACTATCCACCCACTGGCGGGCCAAACTGACATACTGACCCAAACCACACTCCTCCATCCAGCCACACACTTGCTCTGTTGTCCACTTACAGAAGGGTGTTTGTGAACTGATGAAGACAAGAAAACAATTACAGCAATATTATTTATTATTACATAAGTGGCTCTGACCATGTTAATTCATAAAGGGAAATCTACCGAGATGAGCGTCCAGAATCAGGTGTTCGTATTAGCCGAGGTCCAGCTGTAGCCCTGAACCCCCCTCTCTTAAACTGTGTGGGCTCCAAGTCATCTGACAGCACACCTGTCCTCTTCATCCTTTTATTATTATTATTATTTTTTTTTTTTGAAAAGGAGAGAGAAGGCAGAGATTGTTTAATTGTGTTTTCTTCAATAGTAATGTCACATTTGCATTGTATTATTATGAATAAACTCACTTTCCCCACAATTTGCGTATGCTGGTGTTTTTGACATTTTCCTGTGAGACAGGAGACTGCTGGCCTGATTCAGCCCCAGACGATACTGAAGAAAGATCAGAATTGGTTGTGTCCTTCATTGTTTCTGTAAAGCAAAAATGAGAGTGAATCAATAAGCATGACAAAACAACAAATTGTATTTTGTAAGTTTATATCTTAGGCTCCAGTTTTAGCATTTTTAGTAAATACTAGTCCATTGTTGGCTGTTTCTTTGTATGCTATTTATATTCTGAGTTTCTTTGTATAGTTCTTAGTTTCTGAGAGTATGGTTTGACATGCTTTATTTTCATGTGTTTTCTAATTAGTCATCATCTCCAATTGGGACTAGCACTCATTTCAAAGTTCTTCCTACACACAGCATATTTATTATTTTTTTTGTTGGTTAAATGATTTGCCTGTAGCCAGGTAATGTTGCAAGAACAAGCAACCAGGGGTGCTTAACCCTGTTTCTGGAGATCGACCTTCCTGCAGAGTTTAGCTTCAACCCTGATCAAACACACCTGAACCAATTACTTGGGAACTGAACAGCACTTGCTAATTGCAGGGAAGTGTGTTCCATATGGGTTGCAACTGAAATCTGCAGGGAGGTGAATCTCCATAATAAGGAATAGGGTTGGACACACCCCTCATGTAAACTATTGCTCTGATTAGAGTGTTAGAAAAGTATTAGTACACTATTAGATTAAAGTTAAGGTCAGTATGAACTCCCAACAAAGTTACTGGTTGAGAGGTGAAGCATTAAAAGTAGCATGTTGATAGACACTAAGCAAGCAGTCTACTAACATTACAAAACTGATTTTACACTTGAAGTTGCAAATTTGCTGATCAATAGTCAACAGAATGCCTAAAATGTGACATTGTGTAGAAATGACAATTGTTTGAGCTGCAAATTTGGCTGGAGGTAGATTTATTTATCTACACTTATAAACTTATTGATATTTTACATATTTATTGGTGAATTATTCTTTATTGCTATCATTGTAATTTTCCACATTTTACAGCATTTTTTGTTTTTAAAATATGTCTAATAGATGTCTAAACATAGCCACCTTGGCTAAATCAAGGCTAAATTTGGGCTGTCAGAGAAAATCTAATAATCTAAGAATTGGCCAAAATTAGACTAGTCATCCAATAAACAGAAATAAAGTACACATATAAAATTTGACGACTGGTCTGTTTTTAGCTATTCTCAGAAGACTATTAGATTTTCACTGGCAGCCCAAGTTTAGCCTTGTTTAAGGTAGGGTTTATCTCCAACTTGCCTCAACACACCTGTCTGGATGTTTCAAGTTTACCAAATAAGACCTTGATTAGTTTGTTCAGGTGTGTTTGATTAGAGTTGGAGTGAAAATCTGCAGGGCACCGGCCCTCCAGGAACAAGTTTGGTGACCCCTGCACTAGAGTTTGCATTTGTGCAATTCGATTGATGATAAGAAAAGCGAGCGGTTGGTCCATGTTTTCAATTTTTGTCTAGAGAGGTCATGTGTTGATCCTCGATTGGTTTCATGCAGTCAAGTGATGTGATTTCGCAGGTCAGAGTTCATCAAGCTTGAACTTTGCATCTCAGCAAACTGCAAAACTTGACGCATGACCCTGCGTTTCTGGTCTGACGCATTCGCATGCGAATGAATGGAAGTCTATGGGGAGAAAAGTCCAGTGTGACACACCGAAACCAATTGACTAGGACTTGAACAGCACTTGATATTTACAGGCAGGTGTGTTTGATATGAGTTACAACTGAAATCTGCAAGAAGATAGATCTCCAGGAATAGGGTTGGACACCCCTGATGTAAACTACAGTTTTGCCCACATTTGAGTGTTAGAAACGTATTAGTAAACTATTAGGTTAGGGTTAGAATACGCTCAGACATTATTGCGAAATTACTTATAACCAATAGAATGTTGGGAGTTGTGGCATTAAAAGTAACATGTAAATAGACAATAATCAAGTGGTCTACTAACATTCCACATACTGATATTGCACATGAAGTGACATATTTGCTGATCAATAGTCAACAGAATGTCTAAAATGTTGAATTGTGTGGAAATTAAATTTATTTGAGCTCTACATTTGGCTTGAGGTAGAGTTATTTATCTACAATGATTACATTGTAATAGATTATTTACAGATTTGTGAATTATTCCTTATTGCCATTATTGTAATTGGCCCTATTTCCCAGCAAGCATTTTTTTAAGATGTCTAATAGATGTCTAAACATAGTTGACTTGGCTAAAACAAGGCTAAACTTGGGCTGCCAGTGAAATCTAAAAGACGTCTAAGAATAGGCCAAAACTAGTCATCACAAAAAAAAAAAAAAAAAACACAGAAATGAATGACTACACATATAAAGTTTCTCTCATCTGTCTATTTGACAACTAGTCTAGTTTTCTGGCTATTCTTAGATGTGCATTAGATCTTTACTGACAAGTTTAGTCTTGTTTTAGCCAAGCTATCTACGTTTAGATGTCTATTAAACACAAAATTGTTTGCAGGGTTGTTAATAATGTATAAACTGCTCACATATATTCTTGTTCATGATATTGCCAAGTATGATGCGATCCTGGATTAACATCTATGTTGATCCTGGATCATAATTTTTGTTCGAAATTGTAGTACATAGATATTGCCTGGTAGGGATGGCTGACATAAAAATTATATTTCGACACAGTGTCGAGATCCTGAAGCGCAAGTGTTTCGAAACACTGCAACGAAGCATGATCCGAAACACTCAGGTCACGTGACTAATTCGATTCAAAGCATTGATCAGTTCAGAAGCGTTTCGAGACCTGGTGAATCTGCATTGACTGACAGGGTCAAAATCAACATTTGTCTCATAGTGGACCGTATGTGTGCACTTTGTTACTGTGCTTCAAATGGCTTTTGGGTTCAAATCCCGACTTGTACAAATACTCCGAAATCATGATTTTATGTATTTTAATTTATGTTACTGTTTTTTGGTCTAGTCTAGATAGGATACAGCTGCGCATACGGCATCATATCAGCATAATTTTTGTAACACTGTAATATTATTTTTACAGTACTGTGATGATCAGGTTTAGGGTTTGGGTAGATGTTAATAAAATACAATAAATGGGAAATTTAATGAATAATATAAATAGTAATTGTTAACTTCTGGCCACAACGTGTCTGATCTAGCAACAGCCCTGTTTTATGACCAAAACAAGACATATTTATTCACAATGTGTTTATTAGGATGCCAGACCAATGTTAAAACAAAACGATAAAAGCCTTTCAAGCAGATATTAACCATTCAAAACAGCTTTAGCCTGGATTCGAACCCACTATCCCTGCATGGTAGTCAGGAATCCTCACTGCTCCACTAAATCATTTAAAGGTTCAATCCTACAAAGTGGGGTTTAATACCTCAATTTGTACAACAGTTCTTTGCTGAAGCCGTTTCAGTGCAATCCATCAAAGATGACCACTAGGTGTCACTGTAGAGTTGGGTTTCGAAACGTTTAGAAGCTTCAAGAAGCCTCGCTTTGTCCACCACTAAAACAAGGGGTGCTCAACTCTGCTCCTGGAGATCTACATTTCTGCAGTTTACCTACCCTGATCAAACGCACCTGAACCAATTAACTAGGACCTGAACAGCACTTGCTAATTACAGGCAGGTGTGTTTGATATGAGTTGCAACTGAAATCTGCAGAAAGGTAGATCTCCAGGAACAGTTGGCCACCCCTGCCCTAAACCCAACCAATATTGTAAATTATTTCTAAAATCAGAGGACAATAATAGTTGGATAACAATCATCTAGAAGTCCATAAACCTATCCATAAGCCTATCAATAAAACTTAACATAAACAGTAATTGTGTCCCTTAATTCTGATTGGCTGATATAAATGTTGTTCCAGGATCAACATAGATATTGATCCAGGAACATGTCCTACTTGGCGAAATCAGGTTGGCGGTTCTTGTTAACTTTAGGCATACCAAATATTGCACAAGTGCTGATAACATGTAAAACAATAGTAAAAACAAAAAAATAAATAAAACAAGTAGTAATATTTCTAATCTATATTTAACATCATCATTCGCAGAACTGCATGGCTTTATGGCTGTATGGCTTCATAGATTCTCACAAAGTAATAGATACATTGAAATGCTATGTGGTGCATTGCTAAAAATAGCTTCTGGATTATCCTCTTAAATACAGTGAAAGTGTATTTAAAAAAAATCTAAATTAAAGGAAGAAATTGCATGAAAGAAGGGAGAGCGATTCCAGAAAAAGCAAACAGATCTCTTAATTGTGGCATTCAGTGGTATTACACTCTTTTACTTTTAGCTGCAATTTGACAAATCCCCATGCAATTACACATTTACTGTAAAGACAAAGAACTCTGTGTGCAGTATTTTGAGCTTCAGTACAATTAGCCCATTGTTATATATTTGTATAAATTACCTGTATGCAGCGCTGCTAATGGAGCAGTAAAGTCAAACGGAACAGGTTTTCACGGGCCAGTCTCCAGTTTCCCTGCCTGTCAAAGCATGTTTGCCCATCTGGCAGTGATTTGCCTCCCCTCAGTCAAGCTTTAGACACAGGGTGGGTCCTGAACAGGTGGGGCCCATACGAAAGTTGCTCTGGCCATGGCGGGAGACCCTTTCATTAGAGCCCATCAAAGGCAAGGGATGGTAGAAGTGGTTTTACTTAGTTAAATTAAAACACACACACACAGAAGAGATGGGAGGGGAGCTACTAAAAATTGACTTCATACTACAAGCCCCGATAAATCAAACCAGCATATACAAGGAAACAGGGCTGGGAACTGAGAACCAGATTCTATACAACTTCCGACAGCAATAGGACCATTATTTCATTTGTACAGATTTAAAGCAAAGTCCTTTTGAGGCAAGTCATTTCACTCGGTGGACATCTTTGAAACCCCTCTCAGGCAGTAATGTGTTGAAACATTTTTTTCTCTCTGTTAAACAGAAATTGGGGAAAAAATAAACAGGAGGGCTAATAATTCTGACTTTAACTTCACTGTTAGGTTAACTAACCATTTAATTTGAATGCTTTGAGGATGAACAGGGGTCTCAGAGAATTGTATCAACATGGGGTG